CTGAGCTCGGGAGTTAGCCCCATGCCCGGGTATACCTTCTGATCGGGTAAGTGCTCGATCAATCTGACTTGCTCCAGCTACTCAACCGTCAACTTGGTGGCATCGGAATCGTCAGGGGCTATGAAAGACTTGGGGACTTCGTAATTGTCATCCTCGCCTGCTTCTCATTTTTCTGGTTCGATCGGGGCCGGCGTAGGTGACTGCTATTTGGTTTCTCCCTTGGTGATAGAACTCGGGTTCTTTGATGTCGAGAGTGAGGATATCGGGACCACCTCATCGACCGCAAACATTTCTTTTGCGGCCAGTTGCTCCCCGTAACTATTTTGATCCCTCTCAGTGTGGGAAATTTCAACGCTTGATGTAGTGTCGAGGGTACTGCCCTCATGTTGTGAATCCAAGGCCTCCCGAATAGAGCATTGTATCTCATATCTCCTTCGATCACGTAGAACTTTGTTTCCTAAATGGTTCCGGCTGTGTTTACCAGCATGGTTATCTCCTCCTTAGTGGACTCACATGCCATGTTGAATCCGTTTAAAACTCGGACTGCAAGCACTATTTGGTCTTGCAAACCCAACTGTTCCACGACCCTAGATCTAATGATAGTGGCCGAGCTACCTGGATCAATTAACACACGCTTAAAATTTTTATTTGAGTATAGATATTACCAGTGTATTATTGTGTGGTTGCACGACGCTTTCAGCGTCCTCGTTTTTAAAAGATACGGTTCCTTCCGGTACATAATCTCAAGTCCGTTTTTCCCTTGTAATGGATACTTTAGTGCATTTTAACATTGGGCCCTTGGGGGATGTCAACTCCATCAATGATCATGTTAATGACGTGCTGAGGTTCTTGTTGCTCGATCTGCTTGTTGGCATCCCTATTCCTGAAGTGATTTTTGGCTTGATCACTTAGAAATTCTCGGAGGTGTCCGTTGTTGAATAATCGGGCTACTTCTTCTCTCAGTTGCCGGCAGTCTTCGGTTCTATGGCCGTGAGTGCCATGATATTTACACATTAGGTTAGGGTCCCTTTGTCAGGATCAGATTGCAATGGTCGAGGCCACTTGGTATCTTTGATGCGTTCGATGGCGGATACGATGCTGGCAGCATCGACACTGAAGTTATACTCCGATAATCTTGGTGTCTCCCTGGCCCCGAGTGGCCTGTCGAAATCGTTCTCGCTCATGAGTCCCCGACTATTGTGGCCTCGATTGTTCCTTTTTTCATTCCTTGCAGGATCGTGTCCGGACCTACTGCTCCTTCAATCTCCGTTATAAGGTTGATATCGATATCTGTTCAATCTTGGTTCATGATCGACGGTTCTTTTGGATCTATCACTAGTTCTGACGGGATACACGGATCCTGAAGGGGTCCCGAGCTGATCATCTTTGACTCTGATTTTTGATTGGTACCTGTTATGGACGTCGGCCCAAGTTACCGCCAGGTAGTCTACTAAGTTTTGTTTCAACTTTTGCAAATCCAATGAGCTTTGAGGGTTGAGTCCTTGGGTGAATGCCTAAATGGCCCAATCGTCCGCGACCAGGTGCAGATCTATCCATCCCATTTGAAACCTCGACATGATTTCCCTGAGCATCTCGTTATCTCTTTGCTTTACCTTGAAAAGGTATGACTTCCTGGTCTCGACCTTGATGGCCCCGGCGTGTGCTTTTACAAAGGCATCTGCAAGCATAACAAACGAGTCAATAGAATTAGGGGGTAAGTTATGATACCATATCATGGCTCCCTTTGACAAGGTCTCTCCAAACTTCTTCAGCATAACGGATTTGATCTCATCATCCTCCAAGTTGTTCCCTTTGATGGCGTACGTGTAGGAGGTCACATGTTCATTTGGATCAGTCGTTCCATTATACTTCGAAATTTCAGGCATACATAATTTCTTCGGGATCGGCTTCGGTGTAGAGCTCGAAAGGATAGGCTTTTGGACAAACTTCTTGGAATCCAAGCCTTTCAGTATCGGTGGCGCTCTTGGGATTTGATCGACCCTGGAGTTATAGGTCTCCACTTTTTTATCGTTACCTTAGATTTTCTTTTCTCCCGATTCTACCCGTTTCATCAGTTCCTCGAGCATCTTTATTATCTCGGGGTTGGTCCCGGATTTTGCTCCAGTTGGCCTTTCTGTAACTGGTCCATTTCTACGACTGTTTTCCCGGGATGGTTCAGGCTCAACCTTGCTGGGGGCGCGACTTTCGTTCTGCAATTGGGCTATTGCTGCCTGTTGAGCCTGTAACATTTCGAAGATCACCTGCAAATTGATCATATCACCCTCACCGTCGTGCGTATGCCTGGCTACCAACCTGGCTCCCCCGCGAACGCTGTTTTCCAGGTCTGTGGGCAAGTTAGCGTCGATGGCCACATGGGAGTTAGTGTCGATTGGGTCCGCGATCGGGGCCCCATTGGGGTCAGCAGGGTTATTGCTGGGCATTATATTGTTGTTCTTGCCATGATGACCAGATTCAGCATTAACGTTTAAGTGAGCAGATTGAGAGTTTGACATCCTTAAGTTTTCCTGAAATTAAGATCTCAAAGAACAAGAGTAAAGTAGAGTGTGTTATGGAAATTTGTATCAAATTGCCACTATTATCCTTAGCCCCACGGTGGGCGCCAAACTGTTTACCCTAAAAAACGGATAACAATTAAATTTGTATGTGGTTTTAAGGATATACAGAATTTATTCAATACAAACAATAAATTTCGTTAGATTAAACTGATAAAGGGCGTGATAAATTGTCAAACCAATTACGGGAAGCGAACCCGGACTCAGTAACAGCTTTAATGTAATGCCTGCCCTCGATCCCGAGCTCGTAATAATGAAGAACTGATGAACAACAGTAAGAACTCTGAATAGCAGAGAAAATAATAATAAATTGCCTTGGTATACGTATTACAATGGTCCCTTATGAATAGTCAGACTCCCCTTTATATAGTAGGGGAGTTTTACCCTAACTACAATTCTATAAAAGGTAAAAATCTTCCGTTTTACTAATCACCGATCTTCAGCCGAGATTTACGCCATGACATCCGGTTAAGCGCGGATAACACGGCCCAGTGATGGTCCTGCTCGATTATCTTATAACGTTTTCCGAAGTTTAGGGATTAGAATCGGACCTGGGGGGCGCGGCCCTGATTCCTCCGAGGGCAAATATTTTGCCCGGACCTCGACTCGAGGGGCTCCTTGCCTCGATTCTGATTCCTTACGGTCACATTTTTGCTCTATGTACTTCATCAAGAACCGAGGCGTCCAAAGGGCTCGGTTTCACCCGTATACAAATATAGCAAAGGGAATACATTGCACATGAATCAGAATCAGGAAGCAATTGCATTTGAAGCACGTTAAATTCAAATCATGTTGGCACTTGACAAGGAGGAATTGGGAAACAACCATCCTGTTTCGTCTTTTTATTTTTTCCCCACTTGATTATGAGAAATCGCTGATGTATAAGAACATTCGGTGGAGAAGTGCTTGAAAGAGATAAAAGAATACAAATTAAGCTACAATGGCTCTAAAAATTTAACATACTTAAAAAATACTTACAAGAACTGAAGAATATCCATGCAAATTTATTAAATATTTAACAAAAGCGAAAAATAAAAAGCTAGAAAGCTGTCCTCTAAAATTGTGTGAAAGAACCAAGACAACAATAATTTCAAGGGAAAAAGGCCAAAATTGTCCCTATACTATCGAAAATTAGTCACGTTTATATCCGTTTTTACTTTCGGTCCAAATATATACCTACCGTTAAGAAAGTAGACAAAATCGTCTCTAACCCTAACGGCTGTCCATGACTCAGCGACTAAAATGACACGGTGGACTCTATGTCACTATTTATTTTCCATCTGTAATAATAAATAACTAAACCCACTAAAATTAGTTTTCTCCTTCTCGAAACGATTATCACCCGATTGATTCTTCTATGTTTGCGAAAAAATCTTCGCTGAGGAATTTTGATCTCCTCCAACTCTTCATATTCATGCATAAAGGGCTGAAGATTTGTATTCGTCCCTTCTCGGATCTGCCCATCTTGAGAATCTCTGTAACTACCCAAGGATGAGAAATGAAACAGAATAAAGAATCACACCAAGCTACAAACCAGTAAAGGGTATGAGCATCTGCTTCTTGACAAGAATCGAGTCATGGGTTACGCAAAGCTTTGCTAAAGGGACTGCAGTTGGTGGTCAGAAGTTGTTCTATCAGATTAGTCTTAACATATGTAGCTCATTTCAGGCCAATTTTAAATAAATACTTCAGATTTTTTGTTCTATTATTTTGTTCTATTCAGTCCAAAACAGATCAAAAATTCCCAAAATGATTCTCAGCAGATTGATTCTTCTTTGTTTGCGAAAAAAATTGTTCCATCAAGATTTTACTGTTTCTGATATGTTCAAGCAGTAAAGAATTTTTTAGCTAAAAATATTTTTGCGTTGGGTGAAATTTCAAAGAGAAACATGAGGTCACTGGTAAATGGGTTTTATGGAGGATTTCTTTCTTCTGGATCTAATGGTTTCTAGTGAAGCTTTTTGGTAGGTATTTACGATGAGTGATTGCTGATGATTTTCTAGGTGGAGAGAATATGAGGTATTTTCTTGGTGGAAGACAGCTGGAGTGGTGGTTCGAACACTTACCGGTAATGATGGAAATTTATGAAATACTTTTATGGAGCAGGACAAAAACCTTGAATTTGCAGCAATGGTGGTATGTTGTTAGAGAAGAAGACTAATTTTAGTGGGTTTAGTTATTTATTATTACAGATGAAAAATAAATAGTGACATGGAATCCACCGTGTCATTTTAGTTGCTGAGTCATGGACAACCATTAGGATTAGGGACGATTTTGTCTACTTTCTTAACGGCAGACGTATATTTGGACCGAAAATAGAAACAAGTATAAACGTGACTAATTTTCGATAGAATAGGGACAATTTTGATTTTTTTTCCTAATTTCTATGGGTGCTAAAGCACCTAAAATTAGTACATAGATTCAGCACGGCCTTGAGCGGCAAAAAAATGAACAAAAAGAGAAGTGGCAAAAAAAGAACAAAAATGCCGTAACCAATAACAAGTAATGATAAAATGAAAATAGAAAAAATAATTATCTCATCAAACCAAATTGGTATAAAATGAACTTTTTCATAAAATGAAAGGTAAAAATCAACCAAAAATATTTAAAGAAATCTAATACAATAAAGAGCGGACAACACTTGATCAAGGTTGCTGTTGGGCATCAATATAGCCAGCATCAACAAGAACTTTCTCTCTTTTAGCCAACTCTACATCTTCATCCACCATCATCTTCACCAATTGCTCAAATCCCACTTTCGGTTTCCAACCCAAAACTTTCTTCGCTTTACTCGCATCTCCTTTCAAATTATCAACTTCTGAAGGCCTAAAATACCTTTTGTCAATCTCCACATGTTCTTTCCAATTCAACCCAACGTACCCAAATGCCACTTCCAGAAACTCCTCCACTGTATGCGACTCTTCAGTCGCCACAACATAATCATCTGGCTTCTCTTGCTGCAGCATCATCCACATTGCTTCTACGTAGTCTCCAGCAAAACCCCAGTCCCTGGACGCTTGTAAATTTCCTAAAAACACCTTGCTTTGTAACCCAATTTTAATTCTCCCTACAGCCCGAGTAATCTTCCTTGTCACGAAATTCTCACCTCGACGTGGCGACTCGTGATTGAATAAAATCCCATTGCACGCGAATATCCCGTACGCTTCGCGGTAATTCACTGTGTACCAATGCGCAGCGCATTTTGAAACGGCGTAAGGAGATCTAGGATGAAACGGAGTAGATTCGGATTGTGGAGGCGGAGTAGATCCGAACATCTCAGATGACCCGGCTTGATAATATTTCACGTGGGACCTACCAGAGGCAGAGATGTGGGACCGAACGGCTTCTAGAAGGCGGAGGGCGCCGGTGGCAACCACGTCAGCAGTGTAATCCGGGATCTCAAAAGACACGGCAACATGGGACTGAGCCGCGAGGTTATAAATCTCGTCGGGGAGGATAATGTCGAGCCAACGGCGGAGAGAACTAGCGTCGGAGAGATCGGCGTAGTGGAGTTTCATTCGGGCTTTGTAGGTGTTATGTGGGTCGATGTAAACGTGATTAATGCGTTGGGTATTGAAACTGGAAGATCTACGAATAAGGCCATGAACTTCGTAGTTTTTGTTAATGAGAAATTCAGTGAGGTAAGAGCCGTCTTGGCCTGTGATGCCAGTGATCAGTGCAATTTTGCGAGGTGGTGGTGCAATGGCGGTGGTGGATTCGGATCTGGTGCTGCCATTTTCAGCTGCCATTAATTTGCTCTAATTTGAGATCAGGTGTTTTGAGACAAAATGGGGAGATTTGTTTGATTGTAATGAGGCAAATGAAATTCCAAACATCGCACTATATATAATTAGCTGTGGTCTTAAGTTATGACCAAGATACACGTATTAGAAAAATGAGGAAAGTTTTAAATATAATTTGAGAATTAACATCTCTCTAGAAAAGATGGTTGAATGAAGACTAGAAAATATAAGAGTACGTAAAGATGGCGTCATAGTTTTGAATGAAATTAAGAAGTTTTTTATTTCATGTTAATACCGTCAAAAGAACAATTTTTATCTTATGGATCCAATTATTTATTTTCTTTTTCTGAAAAATGAAGTTATTAGAATGACCTTGCTCCCAACTTTTTTTTTTTTTCCTTTCTAGCTTGTTATCTCTGGTTGACTGGTTCCTTTTCAGGAATTCTCACCGAAAGAGAAAAAATTCACACATTTGACCAGACCAAAATACATATTTGAACCTATTAAAATATTAAAAACAAGAAGAATTAATAGTCACTAAGGATCTTAAGGATAATTGAACAATTTTTATCGATTTCAAAGTTGGTTAACATTTCATTGAGCCGTCTCAGGTCATAATTAATTCTTAATAATACTAATTTGGTATAAACAAATTATAATTTTACATATTATGCCCTTGGGTTGACTGACATATAGTTCTATTGACATGAACCATTACCAAGCTAGAAAAAGCAAAATATCTTTAGGCATGCATTAAATAAGAAATACTTAAGTGTTTAAATATTGTTTTCCTATGTTTATGGTTGAGGAAAACCTTTATGTGTTTAAAAAGTCTTTTAACAATCATTTCGCATAAATATTGGTTGAATAATTGAATAACACTTTTTCTCTAAATATCCTTTTAATTTTAAGAATTGATTAATTACAAGGTTAGTAAAAAAAAAAGTTGTAAAGCATGAGGTAGATCTAAATGAATAAAAAGAAAGCAGCATGCTAATTCACAGCAATCTTCCCTTAATTATGATTGTGATCATAATGTTCATGTTAGTAAAGCATTAAAGGAAATGAAATATTCATAGAATCTGAGAGCCACATGCATCTGCCTTACATATCTCATTCCAAATTCCATTTTGAAAGAATCGTTAGGTGAATGCACATAAGAAGACAGAGGGGAGATTCAAGATTATATATAGAGTTGGAATGAATAAAACAACTACGTACAAGGTAGCTACGTTACACTTTCATTTCCCTATCTGATAATCCATTAGCGAAAAGGATTAAGAGCCAAATTACTATAAACAAGCAGGGGCGGATGCACGTTACCAAAGGGGTGTCACATGACTCCGCTTCGTCATAAATTTTATTAAATATATGCATTAATACTATGAGGAAATGGATAAGTAGGAAAAAATGAAACCTCTTGACATTGTTGTTTGACCAAAAAGTATGAAACCTTTTGTTAAACTAATTAAACAAGAGAATGATGGATAAATCCTAGTTAAACGTAATGAACTCTAGATCTGAATGTCTTTATACGAGTGACGTGAAAGTGCCTTCAAACCAATTTCATTTGATGGGTATTAAATGATGCAGTTAAGAGTGAGTGAAAGAGCAATGATAAACAATAACTATATTAAATGGCAATTAAATGTAAAAAGAGGGGAATATTCACCCAATATTGAAGAAGGTGAAGGATTCTTTTCCCTAACAGTGTTGAATGACACGAGCGTTAGAGAATATTCCACACTTTCTTGGATTTAATGGAAATGACAATAGAATAATTCACAAAAAGGTCAAATCTCTACTAAAATTAAATTGGTTCCTTGTATTTTTCTTGAGTGCTTATCTTACAATTGTATTCTTATCTCCCGAAAACGAATCCCCCACCCTTTCTCTCTCTTCCTCTATATATCCTTGGGGTATATTCTCTAAAGAACCCTAAAAGTACAACAGAGGGAATATTCAAGGGAATATTCCTTTTGAAAGTTCAAGATTATACCAGTCGTTACTTTCATTCCTGCTACTCGACTTCGGCCCATATGCGCCACGTGATGATTCGTTCTCGTTAATCATTGCTCGACCTCGGCAAGCCCCTACGCCGAGTTGTAATTATCGTGATAATCTCCTCTTCATACCAAATTTTCTCGGTCGAATTTTAGCCCATACAATTAGTCCCTCCGCTTATCGAGGTCGTCTTTTGGTCGGCTTTGATGAGCGGACTTCATCAACCGCAGTATTGAGAAATTTGGACGGGGAGGTCGAGTAGTGGTAGTCGCCGAGATGGTGATGTGGCACTTTGAGGGCTGCGCTTAATGATGATGGTTCAAAATGACGTCACAACCTCACGCGTCATAATTACGCATCTTCCCGATGCGTTGCATCATTTCTTGTGAACTTGTTACTTCGATCTCAGCGCGTGTGGCAGTTACTTTTCTCGATTAATGCGTTGGTATTCTCTATAAATAAAGGGAGAAACCTTTTCGATAGAAACTTTACACTTTAGAGTTTCCTAAGCTTGCCTATCTGCCTCTCTTGTTCTTTTTGAGTTCTCATTTTCTGCAACTTTCTTCTGCCGCCATCGTTATCTCTTCTTCACTTCCATTTATTTTGCACCTATATAGTTATACAAATGGCTAGCGCATCTTCGAACTCCGAGGAGATTCTCAGCCCGCCTCCGATATCAGTGGCCATGCCCGTTAGCGATGAAGGGGAGGCCATTGTTGTAGAAGATGGTAGCTTTCCCACAGTAGAGGAGATTGTCCCTCGTAGTGACAAGGCCAGGTTAGACTTCTCGAAGTCTCTTGCTGACGAGCATATGCATGTGAAATCTGAAATGGGGGTGGCCCATCTTTCCGAGCTTAGGTCTAAGTACAACATCCCCGCTCACATTGACCTGGTCCTGGCCAGGAACGATGTGGTCCATATTCATCGTCCTGGGTACTGCGCATTTTATGCATACCTATATAGGAGCATTTTACTGCGCATTCGAGTGGGCTATATTCTCTTCCTCTTCCCCCGTTAGCGGAGGAATTCTTCCGCTACTACAATAACTGTCTAGTCCAGCTCTCTCCCTATATTTACAAACTTTTTATTATGTTGATAAAGTACGCGGAGCTGGCCGACCGCGAAATCTCTATCTGCCATTTGCTACATCTTTTCGCTCCGAGCTTTCATCGGGGCACGATGATACACCTTCGTCACCGAGGGGCCAAGGGACTGGTGGTGAAAATGGACGATAAGACCAATCGTAGGTTTTGGGTCGACTTTTTCTTCGTCATAATCGAGCACGTGGTGGCGGACCCTACTGGGTTCCCCGAGGAGTGGAACTTCGCCCGTAAGTATTTTTGTTGATTGGTCGTTTGCTGTCTTCCTTTGGTTACCTAATAGTTCTTTTATGGTGCAGCCGAGAAGGAGCCTCCTATGTTGGTCGATGATATTCCTGACTGGGAGGCTCAGGTTTTTCCCCGCACGTGGGGATTCGTGAGAAATCGTCCTTCAACAAGAAGTTTGGGCCCCAACCTTCTTCGACCGGTGAGTCTAGTTGTGATCTTCGGTCACCTCGACCTCATTATCGTTTTTCTTTTTCACTCACGCGTTTTCCTTGATTTTAGGTCGAAGGGCTCCAAAGAAGGCAAAAGCTCCCACCCCCGCTTTCTGTTAGTCGAGTACTCCGACCAGGTCTCTGAGCATTGTGACTACAGGCGAGTCTGCATGGACCGCCGCTTCTTCTAAAGTCTCAGCTCTGCGTAGGCCTGGCCGTTGGGCGGCTGCCCCATCAACGGGGACTACGGCTTCTTCTTTACTATATTTGGTAGATGAGTCATCGCCGAGTGATGAGGAAGCATTTCCGTTAAAAAGGCGGCGAGGTAGTAAGGGGCGAAAGATCAACAGGTGGTGAGCCTGAGCCGGCTGTGCCCGTGCCTGAAATCGGCGTGACTTCAGACGCTGAGATTTCGGTTCCTAATGTTGAGTTTGCTCCTTTACCAGAGGTTGCCACGATCGTGCCGAGGAATGATCCGTCGACATCCAAGCCGGTCGACATTCCTTCCTCTGCCGAGGAGAGGGAAAGAGGTGTGACCGTAGATGATTCTGAATCTGGTTCTGACGTCGACCCTGAGGAGGAGAAGATGTTCGACGAGAAGTTTACCCGGGTTGAGGTGAGAACGGATGGATCCTCTCGTTCAATAGTCATCCCTTTGGATTGCAACTTGTTGACCAACATAAAGAGCGTTGTTGATACCCAATTTGGCCTCATATGTTTTCAATATATATATATATATATATATATATATATATATATATATATATATATATATATATATATATATACTTATATACTTTCAAAATAGAACTTTTGCATTATTATTTAGTTTACAAATCTTTACAAGCTTTTTCTATAATTTTTCATAATTTTTAGAGCTTTTAAATTAATTTTCTTGCATTTAAATTATATAAATATTTATTAATTACCCCTTTAAATTATTTTGTGATGACTTAGTTACCTAAAATTATTTGTTTTCACCTATAATATATATTTCAAATATTTTTACTTCATTTCATATAATTACATTAGCATATTTAAGCTATTTATCTAATTTTGCAGTAATAGCCTATATTCACACATAAATGCTCTTTATTTATATTATTTGTGTCAAAATAGTATTTTTATATTTTTATAATATAAAGTTATTATTTTTAAGCATTTCAGTGTATAAAATAATATTACACTTATTTATCAAGCATTTTTATAAATTATTTTTGTGTTTAAATAATAGCCTAGCTTTAAAATAGTTTTGGTTCAAATTGACCCAATATTCTTAGCCCAACCCCTGGCCCAAGACCAAACGACCCCTTTTATTTATAACCCGGTCGGTAACCCCTTTTTAACGACCCGCTCAGCTCCCCTTTTTCATCTTGGCCGTTGATCTCAAAAGATTAACGGCCCCTAATAAACTAACCCCTTCTAAATTACCCTATCCCCTAACCCTAATCCCATTCCCTCTAAAATCCTCTCTCAAAACTTCTCCACTCTCTTCTCCTACGAACCCTAGCCGTTGTATCTCAATCTCTCCAAATCCGACCCTAAGATGGAATCAATCACTGATTCACTTACCTTATTGGTCTCCTCTCGCTACTAG